TAAAGTTACGTTTCATTGAGTATTTTCCGAGTTATGGAGCTTGAAAGTTAAGGCAATATCAACGATTTAATTTGAACTGTAAGCGACCATTTTAAAAAAAGCTTTGAAAAAGCCCACTTAGGTAAAAAAAAGAAAAAGAAAAAGTTATACGAAAAAAAGAGGAAAGTTGAATCGTTCAATTGGGAAAGATTGGACTCAATTCCGTGCGCGTAAGCATATATCAAGCAGTGCGGATAGATCACGAAGCATGTGCGCATAAGAATCTCGCTCACACATGCATGCGTACATGGATAACGCCGACAGTACTGTGACTTTCAAGCTCCATAACTCGGAAAGTACTCAATGAAACGTAACTTGATTATAGTGTTTTGGAAAGTTCTTGCGATAAGCTACAAGAATATGTAATAAAGGTAATTATTTACTTTAGGGGACCCACCTCCGATGACCTTGATCTTGATATATATTATCAAAAATACCTTCCTGAGTGACGCTCAAGAAGTTTTAGCCGTCACTCGTTTTTATTAAAAAGTTATTGACAAAACAAGTTATATATATAGAATATAGATTTATTTGACACCGTAGATAGATAGAATTGCTTCAGTTTGTCTATACCTTTAGTTCTTGTTTATATACAAACGTTCTCACTTTAAAGTTAGAATTGTACATATACAGTATGTTTGATAAGAGCGTGTACGGCAAAACTCAAAAACTTAGGATAATACATAAATTGAGAAAATTTGTACACATTATGCATGATATAGACTGCGATGCTTTATTATTAATAAGTTGTCCAGTCGCCTCCATTATCAATAATTGACTGGCATCTCCGAGGCATACTTTCTACTAATTTTACAGCATAATCTTCAGACAAAGATCTCCATATAAATCGAATCTGTCGAATTAACTACTTGACGGTCCATATTTTCTTTCCTCGGAGCTTAAACTTTATAAGCGCCCAAACATTTTCAATTGGATTTGCATCTGGCGACTGTGAAGGCCAATCCAGTACGTCAACGTCATTTTCTTGTTTCCACGCAGTACAAAGTCTACTCCGATGTTTCGGATCATTGTCCTCTTGCAGTAGCCAATTTTCATTTTTCCTCGTAAACCACCTTTGGGCAGATGGTAATAAAGCTCTCTCATATATTTGGACCATTTTAGCAGCATCCAA